GCGTTTAAATGTATAATAATAAGTCGCAAACGTGTAAACGTATTCAGAAAAACCTTTCTAATAAACGGATATGCCAATTAAACGTATAAACGTGTTTGCGTTTAAACGTGTGCGAATCAATATTTTACTTCTCAATTAGCTACAACAATTAACTACAGAGTGAACGATAAGTTAACAGAAATTTAAATCACCTTTTGATTATTAAAGCGACGCACGTAAAAAATTTTTACGTACGGGATAAATGATACGATAAAATGATGCAAGTGTATAAATTGCTTTGGTAATAAACGAATGCAGTAATGCAAGAGATAATTCTCATGGTAATTACCGACAATTAACCTTTTTTTTTTCAACAATGTTAAACCGTTGATGACGGCGCTTTCTGCTTCCGTGTATTGTGTCATAAAACAGAGTCGAGCGTGTGTGATTGATCAATCTACAAGTAAAATAGTGTAGATGATATCTGTGATTTTCTGTGTTCGTTCAAGTTGCATCAGATATACGTCAGATTATTCATACATTCGCGACTGAAAGGGATTAGCAACGGAAAAAATTCATCGCCCATTACCCTGAAAACTATTTCAGGCACCAAAGCCATGAATGCTAATCGCAGCTTCCACGTGGCAGCTTTGTTTGTCAGCCTCGTTAGACGTTAAACAAATTAATGAGCCGTTCAATGCCGTAGCATCCTCCACAGACGTAGCGTATCCTGCACAAACATCGGATGTTGGCTTTTCTTTCATCGCTTCTTCCAACTATATCCCGTTTAATGACTAATGGCCTTGTTATACTTTCATAAATATCATTACCGTTCCCGTAATTGATTATACAATTTTACGACAATGCTTCGTTCACGGTAATTGGCACGTCCTCGATCGATTTAATCGGGATTTTCCCTTCGGCCCGACTTAATTCGCTTGGTCGACCGTCAGAAAGCAGATCGAAATCGCGAATTCGAAAATGCATCGAAGGCCAGCTCAAAACCACTATCTTTACCACGATCGTTTGCTGTGCTTCAAAAATAATTCTTCCGTCTCTCTCTCTCTCTCTCTCTTTCTCTTTCTCTCTTCTTTCCTGCAATACTTTTTAATTACATAACGCTCTTTCTGCAGCTCGCCGCAACATTAATTACAAATGCTAATAAAACGCGCGATTGTTGCCATCTTTTTCGCGTAATTGCGAAATATTATCATAAGCGATAAGAACGGCTCGTTAGTTTATCAACGCTCGCAAGAATATTGCGAGCCAGAGCGCGTGAGCGATACGCAATAATCCTTTTACTACAAGCAATTGTGGAATTGTATCTGCTGTAATAAAATAATTATTGCGTATCTATATCAACATTTGGATCCTACATTAGCTCTATCTTTCCGAACCGTTGATAAACGCATGAGAAGAGGCACGCGCGTAAGCGGCAGATAGAGTTTAACTCGCTCGCGAATTTAATCGGCGGATCGGCGCCGTAAATCTTCCCTCGAAGTACCAGGGATGCCGCGGTGGCGTTTGCAGAAAGAGAGGAGGGCGAGGAGGGCGAGGAGGAGGAAACGCGCGGCGAGAGGCGCGTGCCGACACGCTCGAGCGCGAAATATCTCTCGGGCGAGCGACCTCGTTAATTAAACCGAATTTAGGCGACTGAGGTCAGTCGCAGCAAGGTCCGAGCCTTCCCTCAGATCGCAATGCCTGACCGGATACACTATAGCCGGATATCGGAAGACATTCCGCTCGGTCTCGCCTTGCGCGTCACGCCGCGGTTAATTGGAGGCTAATTAACAGGTTAAGGTGAGGAATTCCATTTTTACCGAAGGTCAAGAAATCGCGGCGGCCGGTCACGCGACGGGAACCACGGTTGATGCTGCACGGCATGCGCTTTCTCAACTCCGAGGCACGGATCGCACGGCCGGGGAGAATTGCCGGTCTGGAACGATCGCGACTATGATAAATGGGTCAGATATAGTTATGGCGTTTGTAACAACGGTAATTAAATCGCAGGTCCATTTTGACGTCGATCGCCCGGCGAGGTAAACCGCCGTGCCGCCTCGCGTATGGTATACGATGTTTCGTTCGTCTAGGAATTATTAGAGCACGATCGCGCTCTCGCTAACTCACCGTTACAATTCGCCTTCTTTGTCAAACGGTCGCGGGGAACCCGAGGTGTCTCTCAAGAGCCGTGGAATTCAGCTAGAATTCCCTTTCTCACACTGGGAAAAATATAATCGGTCAAATATAATCGGATAATCCAATTGCACAATAACAAACGGATATAACCGATGAAAAGTACCATCGGTTTCTCGATCAAATTTCATCGGTAACTGCGTCTCATCGGGTAATTTAATGCGTAATTTAATCGGAAAAGTTCATCGGAAAAATTAACCGTCGGAAACGCTATTTAATTGGTTTATCCGATGGAACTTTTTCCCAGTGTAGCGAAACAATGCAGAATTACGCGGCGTATCGCGTTAACGCTATCGTTATTGTTATCGGGAGTACGTCAATACTATCGTAAAGCGCCTTTTTTTCAAGGCAAGACATACATTCGCGGGGTTACGTAAAAAGATAAGGTTAATTTTTCCTTTCTAATAACACGCTCGCGACTGTGTAGCCACGTGTGCAGCCGCAATTATTGTACGCGCAGTTGTCATATGCGGCGACGGAAATTTTTTTCTGTGTCGGAAGTTACGAGGCATCTTGAGGGAATAGTATTATATATTACCGTATCTTCGCGTAAGCGATTAATTATACGGGAATTAAGTACAATATTACAATAATGATTATGCGATCGATCGACGCTAAATGCTAACAAGCAATCATATACAAGCGCGACTGTCACGTCCCGGCTGTTACTTGGATCCGGTGAATAAGTTAAGGTAGTTCTTTCGTAAAATCAGTTATGTGAGAATTGTTTCAAATTTTTACAGTTTATTCTTTACATAAATACGTGCAAAATAAGACTAATTAAATTACAATTGACCGTCTCAAAGTTCTGAAAAAAATTGTTAAAGTTTACTATGTTACACGAAATATTACGTGTAAAACACGTTAAAAATATTATTACATGTAACAATATAATTCGTTGTGATATTATTACATGTCAAATATTATTTACACATATTATTATGTTTTAGAATATTAATATTTGCGTTTGCAAACGCAAATGGTGGCACATCTTATTTTTTTAAAGCTTCACGATGAGTGAGATTCGTATGAGAAACAAATGTGTTATAAAGTAAAATAGAACGAATAACTGGAAAAAAAATCGAAATTAATGACCGTTTCGTTTCAACAATATAAACAGTTAAAACTGAAAAATGGGAAGAATTATGTAGTAGACATGAGTGTAGCGTAAGAGATGTGGCAACAGCACCTCAAACTACAATCTTTCGAATCTATTTTATATTATGTATTAATCGTAAGTGTATTCTTTAGAACAATATTGCACCAAA